AAACTGAAGGCTTGGATAAGGACTGACTTTGTGCTGTTCATTTTTTTTTGTGTGTGTGTTTTTGTTTCATCATGTGGTCATTGATTCCCAAATATGAACTTTTTTCCTTTGTAAGCAAAAAGAGGTCACTGACCTTTTCTCTCATCTGTAAGGTTTCAGAGAGTTCATTTACCATCTGGGTCTCATCTTACTGATTTGTTTTTAATTCTTCTCCTTTTCATCAGCTATTGGGTTATGGTTTAATTTAGTAGTGAAAGATATTTTTATGCTTGTTTTTAAGGCTTAAATGACATTTCGCAATTCATTTATTAATGATGTTAATTGTGTTTCTGTTTTGTTTTTTGTCAGGTTATTTCCTAGATTTTCATTTATATTTGGTGATTTTTTGCATTATTTTGTCAAGAGAAACAGGTTTCTATAAGTTTTCTTGCCTCTGGGAATGTAATATTTTGAATGATTTTTATTTGTTTTTCTTTTTCCCAAGACTTGCATTTTTTAGCATCAGCTGTGATCTCTATAGCAGTCGATATATTTTGGTTGATTTTCCATGTCGTATCATCATGGTTTAGTTCTCTTTCCCCACATCTTGCACATGTGTTTTTTTCTTGTGCAGTACTCTTTTTAGATGGCCATATCTTTGACATTTGTGATGTCTTCTCAGATTTGGAATATATTTATCTACTTTGGATATTAAATATCCAATTTTAATTTCAGATGGTGGTGTCATAGTATTGAATTTTAATATATATGTGTTTGTAATTATTACCTGGTTTTGTTTTTTAATTATCCTTTTGACATCAGTTGTATTGTTTTTTAACCCAGATTTTATCTCTTCTGTGGTACAAAGTGACAGATCTCCATTATAAACTACACCTCTGGTCTCAGCCACAAAACATTGGAGCATTGTCCATCAATACTTTGACAATTGATGCATCCTGGCATGCCAGCAGATGCAAAATGGTGAAACATGTCTGACCAAAATCTGTTTTATTTCTAATATTCAATGTCAATAATATAGCATTTACATTATTATATTCTTTGCTATTCAAGGCCAACAAGCCCATTTTCATTGTTATACTCACAAGGTGGTTGTAGCTTTCTTCATGATGCCTGTCTTCATAGTTGATAAACTTCTTGGAATTTTGAACTGAATCCTTTATGTAGTTTATGGTGGTAAATTGTTCTCATTTCATTTTCCATATTTAGGGGAGATTTTGTATCAGTTAGTACACAACAGCCTAATTCACCTTTGTGATGCTTGCTTGATTCATCCATTGAACCATGTATATGGCTTTTCAGCAATATCAGACAAGGTGTTGAATTCATAACTGCCAGAAAACCCAATGCTTTAATCTTCTAGGCCATGTATCTCTTGGACATATAATAATAATTCCGAATCTCAAAAGTTGTATCATAAATAGTCATTTACAGGTGATTATTCAACAAAATATAAGCTTACTTGCTGTTCATTTATTAAAGAACAATCATTTTTTTTATTTTTCTGAATTTAAAACACTATCAATGCTTTTTTTAATCAACATCAGTAAAATAAACAGCAAGCTTCATAACTGTTTAAGCAAAACATTTATGAAGCTTTGTTCTCTTTGTGCTACTTATATACATATTTATATTTGTGCTACTTATATACATATTTATATGTAATTCCAGTTAATTTTCAAGATAAATATTCTCAAATCCTCCTTATCAAAAACAAAAAATTCTACTGAAATATATATATTATTTGCCAAATTCCAAAATATCATTCTATTTCTCCTCTAAATTATTAAAGGTTTATAAATAAAGTCAGCTAACATTTCCAACAATTTCTGCTTTTAACAAATCTTTATATTATATTTATATTTTCATTAATACAAAAAAATCTTTGTATAAAATTTTCTGAAAATGTTTGCTTGTAAATAACCAACTGTCCACCTTGAATTATCCTGATGATAGCTAAGTGAACATCATTTTTAGATAATGTTTATTATCATCTTAGCCATGGTTATCTGCTCACTCAAAGATATACTTGTCTACTATACTTAAAATATAAAAATTTAATGAAATAACTTATGTGGGATGTCAACAAAATCTATAATTATTTTCATTATTACCAACAGAAATTATTTTAATACACTGGATTTTTACTAGAAAGACCATTGCGGTTATTATTATTATTAAAAATATACCTTTAAGTGCCAACTCTAGGTGCATCATCAGTGTTGTTGCTCCCATGTCACTAGAAGTTTTGGGTCTAAATAAACAACAGACTTCTTCCATGGGTGACCCGACCAAATATGATCAGTATTTGGCCCACAACCAGAATAAAATTTGCTACTAGCTTTTAGGACATGCATTATATAAGTTCCACCAGAAAATGACAACTAATCAAGATTTCACTTGGGATATTCAATGTTATAGAACAGGTATGCTTGGTTGTACTGATCTTTCTACATGCCACCAAGACAGGGTGTTTTTTGGAAGAAGAGAAGAAAACAAAACTATAACATTAATAAAATAAAAACGATTTATTATATTGGCTAGTCTTACGACTTTTCTTTCTCTTCCTCCCCTTTTAATTTCTTTATTATATCTTATTTGTTTGATCTTTCTCTATTTATAACTTTCCTTTTTATTCTTTTTTTTTTTTTAACTACACTTAACAAAATGTTTAGAGTGATTAAAATGACTTAGACTATTTACAAAAAGAAAACTCCTAAAATGCAGTATGAATAATTTGGTTGATACTCCTATAAATTCTGTTTAAAAACAAAGAAAAATAACATTTAACTAAAATTGCTTAAAAATACATTAAACTGTAGTGTATGTACAAAATATAGCAAGAACACCAAATATATAGGTACTACTATTTATATTAATGATTCTTCCATGTATAGGATTCAAGAAATAATAACAACTCCAATTTGTTGACCAACAAATATATATTGAATAAAATATAACAACAAGCATGAAATAAAATTGTGTTCACAATGTAGATTAAAGTTCTTTCCCTTTGACTCTAGATTGATTGTAATCAACAATTTGAAGAAAGTTCTCTTGTGAGATAAATGTTCCGAAATAAATTGTCTGTGTGTGATGAGCAAGATCATGGATTTTTGTTGATGACTGGGATCTTACTGGCGACTTGCGAAAAGTTGCCCTATTTAAGGAAAAGAGGTAGGCTCCCACAGAACCACAGGAAAACTTGATCTTACATTAAAAATATGCGATTAGTTAAAAATTAACCAATCACTACACACATACTAAACAGAATAGGTAAGTATGCTCAGAACCAAAAGATTCAAAGGAACAACTGCAATGGCTAAATTATCCTATACAAAGGTAGTAGTAATTTATTAGCCAATCTAGATATTTACATGTTAAATACTAGTTAAAAAAAAAAGAAAACATAACCTGTAAATTTTAGTTAAAATAGGTTACTCCCAAAAAATTAACCTTAACAGAAGAAATTCGTTTAAAAACTAAGAGAAATAACATAACTAAAATTGCTTAAAATACATTAATCAAGATATTTCTTTACATATTGAATAATAGTTAACAGAAAAAAAGTTACTCCTAAAAAAAAAAATTATCCCTAAAGGAAACCGATTGTAAAAAACAAGTAAATACGAAAAAAACGAAAAAAAAAATGTGAGTAAAGGAAAGATTACATGTAAGAATATTTTTTTTTTTTTGTAATAAATCTACTTGAAAGACCAGTAAAACACAAAAATGAAGTTGAATATGCAACTCGAATAAGTTGTTTCTCTGAAGCTTCTCGTCATCTATATATACAATTTTAATATACATATATACAAATCTATATACACTTTTAAGCTTTAAAATTATTTAGTGGTGGTATTTACAATTCATGTTCATCTACACTGGGAACGTTCGTATTTTTAGTAGTTTTAGGCCATTCATTAGCCCTATTTATCCACAACTACCTGGTGGCCTTTTTAATGAACTAGGGATGATTTGAATCACCCGCATTCTTTTTTGTCCAGTTATCCCTAGGCTAGTAAGGGCTCATATCATTGACTGTCCGCCGAACTCCCTACAGCCAATCTCGACTGTGAAACAATGAATACGCCATCCTTTAATTCTGCAATTGTCTAAGAGTCCTTAATATTTACTGTACTTTCTCTCATTAGCTTCTTGCATATGCTTCTCCTATGGGATAGTTAACTCAAGCAAAATAATCTGTTTCGTGGCGTCCGAATAAACGATTATGTTTGGAGGATGATATGTGTGTAGGGAATTTCAGTTGTTTCCCGAGATCGAATCGCATCTGCCAATCCAATGCAGATGATAACAGTGAATGCAAGCCTGCAACCTTCTTACTCGGCTTTGCACCTGCTTTAACAAAGTGGATAGCTCTTCTTTCTGGGATGAGTTTATTGCTCTGCAAAGCTTCAGCAATAATGAGCGCAGTCATCTCTAAAACCTTGTCATGATGCCACCGATAGCGCCTGTCTGTCAGAGCAGTTGTGCACCCGCTCAATATGTGTTGCAGTGATCCCCTACCCGAGTACAAGGGGCATTTGGTGAATCTATTTTTCCCCCATAAATGTAGGTTGGTCGCACTTGGTAATACGGCATACACCATCTGAACCAGGAATCTAGATTGGCTGAAGTCAGTATCCAAAGATCTGACCACAACACTTTTCACTGATCTACACCATCCCACCTGGTCCACACACCCTGCTAGCTATAACCTGCCATTTTTGTCATCCACTTTTCTTCCATCCCCGCTCTTACTTCATCCTGTATCAGGTGTTGACGCTCCTTCATGGTGATTTTTCAGAATCTGTAGGAAGGAATCAGTCCCAGGCTTGCTCTTCCCTGTGCAACTGAACCCACTATTGCTAATATAAAGCAATTTTTTCTTGTTTTTTTTTTTTTTTTTTTTTTTTTTTTAATTGGGCATTGTTAATTTGAAACAGTGTGATCCAAAGTCTTAAATGCTTTCCTCTTGAAAGATAACTGAAAAATTTTCTCACCTTTGTCATCAAAGCCATGTGTTATTTCATGACCAATCACCATTCCTATTCCACCATAATTTAATGACCTGAAAAAAATAATTGGTTAAAGATTTTAACTGTTATATTTTATACATATATTTTTTTCTGCTATTTTTCATATATGATTGTATGAAAAAGCATCAAGGTAAAATATTTTTTAAAAGTAGTGGGAGCACTAGATTCTTCATTTGGCTATATTTTCCTTTTTAGGTTCTTCTATATACAGCTCTTGGCATTAATATTTTTAATGGTAACTTGATTTAAATTTTACAGAAAACACAAAGATATTTTACTATTTTAACCAATATCATTCAAGAGTAAATGACTATCATTATCCAAGTTATGAATTTAACTATTTCCAGTTATATCTGAGTAGATTTCTTTTTTTTCTAATTCTTATCTAAAGTGTAACTTGTATTTTTGATACATTCTGCCTCTTCAAATACTCTGAACCACAATGCATGCATATCATACAACACCTGATAACCACACAGTAACATTAGCTTCATTTTCACAAACATGTAAGAAAATTGCAAAATGAAATTTAAGGCTCCATATATGTTTACCTTAAGATTGAAGAAGAGAGAAAAGTGAAAATTTTCATCCAGAATAGGGTGCATAGCTTTCTAAATTCAATAAGCAGTTAGAAAATTTAATTTCTATAATTTCTGAATTACAAAAATCTGTTATTTTACTTCTTAAAATGCTTGTTCATATTCCTTAAGCATAATTTTATTTCATATTGAAATAGGGTATACAATAGCTGAATACAAAATGTAACTCTTTTTTTTAAGCATTTCCTAACTATTCAAGAATAGGTTCACTGCTCTAACCAGTTTAAAAAAGAGTAACAGCAGTTAGAAAAATTGAATCTGGAAGAAAAAGTTTATTTCAAGAGAAGACTACCAAAATAGCTTTTAATGACAAGTAGACAATTACTTTTTTTCAAAAATTTTACTTCCAATAAAAGTAGTTCTTCAAGAACTTTTCCTATCAGACAGTCTTTCAAAGAAGTTGACATTTCTAGTAGATTTTGTACAAGAAATTCCCAAATGTCAAAGAACTTTTCTGAGAGAAAGTGATTTGTCTTGTACCTGTGGTAGCAGAAATACCTCCCACATAATGGTAAGACATTAGTTGTAATAGTGTCTTCATCTAGATAATCTTACCATTAGGTGGGAGGTATTTTTGTCGCAACTGTACAACACAAAGTACTCTAATTTATTCAAGAATATTATCACTGATAAGAAACAATTTTCTATATGGGCCCCAGAAAAACACTTGAAAAATTCAAAGAAAACTGCCTGTAACTAACAAGAAAGATTGGAGTTAGTGATATAATGGTGTGGAGTTGTAATTAAGGTGTAGAACTATTACTAATTGAAGAATCACTACCAATTATCCTGAGGAAAGGATGCTAAAAAGTATATCATTCCTTCTTATCCAGTAGCTTCCCAATTCAACAATAAATCTTCAAAATGTGTGATGTTTTGTTCCAGTAAGATGACACATCACCTCCAAAAAACATCTGAAGACAATGTGGTCCTTCCAATAGGACACATCAACACTATCATCAGATTTTACATTTCACCCCAAGCAAGGTGGAAGTGCCACTAGTATACAAGAGATTACAGAGAGTGAAAGTAAGAGAAAAGACTGGGTATGAGGGGATTAAGGAAAGGATAAAAAGAACAGGGATCAACACATCAGAAGATGTTGATTGACATTACATTTAAATTTTTGAAGATTATAGTTATCAGGGAAGCAAGTAAGAGGAAGCAGTTCTACTTTCAGGAAGTGTGAGAGAAGCTGTTGGAGTAGAAGAGGTGCCTACATTTAACTGTTTTGACAGTAAAAGGGTGGGACCAAGATGCCAACCTAGAAGCACACTTAAATTCATACAGTTGGGGCTCCAGTGAAAATAGCTTGTCAGAGCAGTTGCAGAGGGAAACCACATCACGTCTGTGAGAAAGTGACTGGAGTTGAGATGCCAGGTAAGGCATATCTGTCTTTAGATTTTGTTGAGAACCTTGAGATGAACAGGAGGGGCACCAGACCATATATGGTAACAGTATTCAATGAAAGGTAGATTTGTAGATGTGAAGGATGGGCTCAGATGAGAAAAACCCTCTGGTATGACACAGATAACCAACTTTCCTTGTGGCAGGTGCAGTTATTGATTCATTGTAGTTGTTTTACTTCAGGTCAGTGGAAAACATGAGATGCTCTCATGAAGTTGAGCATCAACCATGCTGATAGAATGCAGAGATTTCTCTAAGGTGAATAAATGTTTTCGAAGCATTAAAATTTACAAGCCATTTCTTGCCTCAGTCAACCATAGATTGGAGGTCCCTTTTTGAGACCAACAGCCAGCAATGCCAGATTTACTATTGAGACAGAAGTAAATGGTAGTGTCATTTGCAAAGATCAAAAACAGTGTAGGACCCAGGATAGAGCCTTGGGAATACCAGCATTTGTACAAACAGAACTGAAAGAGAACCCATGCAGGACAAACTTCATTTCATGGTTTGACAGGAATGATTGGATTAAATCAAATAATTGTCTTGTAATACCATATCCCTGAAGCTTATGTAAAAGGCCGGCATGCCAAACACATTTGAGATATATAGAGCCACAATTCGAGCTTCACCATTATTATCAAGAGCTTGATATACATATTCAGTTATGGCTGTAAGCACATCAGCAGTAGACTGGGCAAAGTGGAAACCATATTGTTTGTCAGAGAGTAGATTGTGGGAGGTGCGATGCTTAACCACTTCAGCATTGATGAAAGCCTCGAAGACTTTGCCGAAGAGTGATAAGAGACTGCTAACACAGTAGTTAGATGGGTCAGAAGGGACTCCCGAGTTCTTTAAAACAGGGACAACAGATGAGAACTTCCAACAGGCTGGAAAGCAAGAATAAGTGAGGCAATAGTTATATAATTTGAAGAGAACTGGAACCAACTCAGGAGCACATTTCTTTAGGACTACAGCTGGTATCCCATCACTACCATTTGCTTTATGAGAGTTCAAATTAGAGATGATGTCCAATACCATCAATGGGGTTATGCACATCTCACTCAGTAGAGCCTCAGGTATGGGTACTCTGGATCAGTTGAGTAGAATGAGAATTTCTGAGCAAAGCATTCAGCCTTATCAGGTGTGAATGTTAGGACTACGAATTGATTGAATAGAGGAGGGATTGATGATTTGCTGTTTTTCAGCATACTCTTGCAGAGCCACCAATAATCTTTAGAAGCAATACATTGTTTTTTGGTAAAGAAAAGGCCTAATGTAATAGTACTAGTTAATCATCAAATGTGACATGTGCAGAAAGGAACTGGCACAGACTGCAACATAATGTGGCCTTGGGGTTGCCCACCAGAGATGTAGGCAGGGACACACTTGCATGCACAACATAGCACTGCAAGAACCCTGATATTATGCAACTGTTGATCAGAGTAGCCTCTCAACATGCGACACAAGAGTTTGGACTCCTAATTACCAGTCAGGAACAGCAACCAGAAAACTGCCAAATCTTCAGTATGAAGAGACATTGCCACAAACTACACACAAGAGATTCATGACAGCACTACTACTAAGGCCAGAGAAAAAGAAAAAAACTTGCTAATATGTTGGATTTTCATTAAGTCTTGTTCCTTTTCAATTCTTTCCTTCAGTGCATAAGGCACTGGACAAGCTTTACAAAATGGAGTTGTTCTGTCTACCAGTAATTTTACTGTGAAATCCTTCAAACAATCCAACTCCTTGCTAAATACAGACTCATATTTGCCCAACAACCAATTCAGTTTCAAAAGAATGTTGTCTCCTATTAAGGGAAGTATTCCTCTCCAATCGAGTAGTATCTTTTTCAACCAATTTCATCCCAGTAGTGCCAGTATGTTACCTTTCGCTATCAATAATGGCAACTGACTCTCTGTCCCTTCTTACACCACATCAACCTCTGTTACCCCACATGGTTTCACCACCTCTATGGTATAGGTCCTTAAATTTATGGAGCTCTCCTTCAAGTCTTATAAAGTCCCCAATTACTGAAACTTTTTTAAACTCATTACTGAACATGAGGCCCCACCTCCATTATATTATAATTCACAACATGCTAGTCACATTTACTGGCTCAATAGCATCTTTATAATTTTTAGCACAGTCACCTAAGCCTCAGCTATCCTGAGTTAAAGCAGCTACCACGTTTCCAGTGAATATTGTTGTTATTTCATAGGATAGGGGAAGAATAAGTGTATTAAAGAAACTGAGAAATTGGACAATAACCTCTCACATCTTAGTTAACAGTAAATAATCTATTCTACTTTGTTTGATACTGATAAGATTTCTAGAAATATTTTCACTTACCACTAATTTCAAGATTCCACTCAAGGTTAATGTAGAGCAGATCAGAAGGTCCCATTATAAAAATGGGGCACCTAAAATAATATCGCAACCGAAAACACAGGTTATAACATGAACATTATAAAAGAGAACTGCCGATGCACTGAGATAGTTATACATTTTCTTTCTTCTGTTTGATGCTTACAAATAAAATATATTCATAACCCAATTGAATTTCATTGATTATATTTTACAGTTACCTCCTCTAATGAATCCACCCAATTTTGATGAATTCTATCTATTTGTTTTCTTCACCTCTGATATTCAATTTGAGTTGATGAGTAAGGTAAAATTCAGCTGATCAGAAGAAAAAGATCTAAATTCATTAAATTTCTCTGTTCTATCATCCATATCATGACTCATCACATCTAAGCTCATTTTGTACAATGATAGTGTTATATTACTACCTATTAAAGTGACATGCAGGATAACAAACAATCCAGGGAATATGAAAATTATGTATTCTTCAATAAACTTTTGTACCAGGGTTTTTAGCAAATTTAGTTAAAGTGGATTCTAAATCACTTACTGGGGGAATGATGTATTACTGTTGAAACAAGCAAACAAAGAATAGTCATCCTCGCACCAAAACATTTGATCAAATTATCTTGAAAAACCACTCCACTCATTAACACTTG